GTCTTAGATTTATTTTTTTATCCATATTTATCGACTAAAAGTGTTTTATACTGGGACTTAATCATAATGAATAAGAAATAGCAAGGTATTAGATCTGATAATTCCTTCTTAAATCTATGATTATAGTAATTTCTTAGTATCTCTGAATTGCTAGAATAAAAACTTCTTGATCATAATGTACAATTTTTTAATGTGCTGCCATATTCTGTTGCTGATATTTAGAATATTTCATAAGTGATGTAAGTGTGATACTGGTGTGTGTTGAATTCACTCTTTGTCAGTATTAGTCTTCATGGAAATAATTAGGAAGTTTTCCTTTTTCTGTGTTTTAGAACACAGATTTGGTGCCATTCTTCTGTGAAATTACTAGGGCCTGGAATTTTTTAAAAATAATAAGTAGTAGTTAATATATTTTCTCCTCCATGAGAGTTGAAAGATTTTCTGTCTCCACTGGAATTAATTTTAATAATTGTGTTTTCCCTGGGTCCCAGTGTCTAGGTCCTCTCTCCCGTCAACATCCTAAGTAGCTGAGATTACAAAAACATACCACTTGCCACTTGTCCAGCTTCGTAGGGTAGGCCAGGAAACAAACCAGGGGCTCCCATATGGCTGAGCAGCAGCATCCAGAGTAACTATGGTGGGACCTGACTTTCTTTTTTTCCTTTTTAAGTTTTGCCAGAAGGTACATGTGCTTGCCTGAGAGAGATGGGGGTAGAGGGGTAAGAAAGCAACCCCCTCCCCACATGGGGAACCTTCACACCATAATCCCTTCTGCATTTCTCCATCATTTGGGGATTTCAGGCATGCATGGAAACCCACCTGGTATGTTTTGCAAGCTGCTCTAGCTCCCTAATGCCACTCCATGGGCTGGCTAGGACCTGACATTTTATTTATTTAGTTAGTTAGTTTTGCTATAGCATGAGTGTACTTGTCAGAGAGAGACAGAGAGAGAGGGAAAGTAAGGGATCTCCCCTGCACTTGTGAGGGAACAGCCACCCACATCTCTTCTCCAAGAGATTTTTGGTATACAGGTACCCACACCCAGCATGTTTCAGGTGGCCGTCTGGGATCCAGCTGCTTTAACCTCCATATCACCTGCTGACCTGTAACTTTTTTTTTTTTTTTTTTTTTTATATTACCTAACATTCATTCCCTGAGCATCATCACAACATACTAAATGTGGTTTCCCATCTAGGCTAAACTGCATAGTGGCTTAATCAAGCATGTTATCATCAATAATATTCCATTTCTACTTTCATACATATGTATACATATATAT